GTTTGCAGTATGGTTTTCATTTGTACTTTATTTTTTTTCCAACAGCAACATCAAATGGAACTTCACAAAGGTAACTAAGCTAATACAGTCAGAACTCAGAACTGCAATGCTCTTCAGTACTTAATGCTGTTTTTTTTTTGGGGGGGGTTTTTGGGGGGGGGGGGGGGTTGTTTTTAACTACAACTGCATTTGAAAATTAATGCTTTTCATTGCTCTCTTATTTCTCACCAGTTTCTTATAAATAGAGAAGGACAAGTAGTGAAGAGATATGGCCCAACCGATGATCCCAGTGTAAGCCGCAACCACACTTTTTCTCCAGTATATACTTGTGCATTCTCTAGAATACAGCACCTTTTGAATGATGTGGGGTATAAGACGCTTTCAACCTCTGTGTGCATATTCTAGTAATTTCTGTTAATATATGGGCAAAGAGGCCCTGTGCAGTTTCTATGCTGATGTTAATGTCAGAGGACGACTGAAACTCTTCAGATTTTGAGACAGTAGGTTGTTTGTGACTTTTGCACAGTGCGTCTCATCACTCAGCATCCCAGCTCTGTAACCATCTGGTCTGCCCAGTACACTTATCTGTGTGTTATATGTAGTATTTGCTGTTATTCTTCAACTCTGCCGTAGTAACATTTGCATTTGTTTCTCTGTGCAGGTGGTGGAGAAAGACCTGCCCACGTACCTGTAATAATACAGTCTCATCTCCCATGTGTTTATTTCACCTTTGACCTCTCTTATGGACTTCAGGGTTGTGTCTGTGTGCCTGAACCAGTGACGGCCTGCCTGTAAACCCAGCACTGGGTGGGGCACGGCCTGATAATCCCTTGCGTGCAACTTATCTCCAGAGCCCACTCACACTAAACCTCTTATGACCATAAGAGAGAACATCCACTGGTTAACCAAAGTAGAGCCACTTCACAGCATACTTCAAACAGCCATTACTTTTTTTAGTCCAATACAAATACCCTCTGTTCTGAATGTTACTTTGACAAGTTTGTTTATGTGTCTTTGTCAGTTTTATGTGAAAACACTGAAGGCAATAAATTTAATAGATTTCTGCATAGCTACTGATATTATTGTTTGCACTTAAAACGACAAAGGGCCAAATGTTGAACCTGAAAATCATGGCTTATATAATGAAATTAGAAAATAAATGTAGTTGTGAATATTGTGTTGATGTGTTGCTTATGCACCTGCACAACAGAAGTAAATGATGGTAATTCTAAATTGCTAGAAGTGTCTGTTTATTTCTGATAGAGTATGTAAAAGCTTTGAACCACACAGCATTCTTATAACACATATTTTTCCATATAGTTCTCAAGGCCTTGTTTTTGTTTGTTTGTTTTGGGTTTTTGTTTTGTTCTGTCATTTTCAGTCCAGTCCTTGACCATTTTTAGAGGAATGCTTGTTTGTTAAGCAACTTCACACTGATCTATGAATTATTTAAGTATGATTCATCAACCTGTGTTGTCTACACATAACAGAAAACTAAACAAAGATCCAGTTTTGTTTTTTTATTTTTTTGGTTGAATCTATGCAAAATCCCAGAGCTTGAAATACATGAAATAGTTTTTTGTTTTTCACCAGTGAGGTCATTCCTAAAAATTAAAAAAACAGGTTTACCGGCATGGTGTTCAGTGTAAGAAATTTGTGGAAACTGGTCAAGTGGAAGCCAAAAGAAGTGGCAGACCTTAAAAGTGCTCTACAGCAGATAAACAGTATAACAGAGTGTTAGGGCCACATTAAGAAAAAAAAACTAGTATTCATTTTGAGAATAAAGTCAATCCACCCCCCAACTTGCATGTCTCTAAAATACTTGTGAAAACGAATTGTTTATTTTGGGGAACTTTGTCTCATTTATACCTAAAAAAAAAAAAATTTTTTTTCTTAGAAGCGATAATGAATGAATAAATAGGTTGTGTTATTGTGGATATTTTGTTGGCCACTGGTGTCTTAACACAACATACATCCTCTTTATTGCATAACAGTGTAACCACTGGCATCCTTGCATCATACCAGCCCTTTAATATGCACCAATACATCCAACTCTTTATAGTTCGTGTGTTGTTGTTTTTTCCCTTGTGACCAAATGCAGCTTTCTGCGCCATTGTTTCAACGTCCTTATATTTACAGAAGCTTCTTACTTTTCTAAGTTTGAAGCAGCACCTTCTTACTCACACGTACAGGCCTATCGTTGCCCTCCAGTGTATCCCGGCCTGCTGTTACTTTGCTGAGAGCTGCGGGCTCACGCTGTAGTGGCACGCGCCCTACCCGGTGCGTGATAATGACGATGACGCAGAACAGCGGCAGAGATGATCGGCACCGCTGGCACTGAGCATGTCCGCGCCGCTACACTTCCACAGCGATAAAACCTGCATCCGTGGAGTTATGTGGTGGGCATTTATAGCAATAAACATCGGACCGGGGTTCTGCATCCAGCAACATCTGGTTCCCGCTGAGGAAGGACGCGGCTGCGCATCGTGATCAGGAACCGTCCGGGAGATGGAAGCGGGGACTGCGGGAACCGGGGATGACGGCAGCCCGAGCGAGGCAGCGGCCGCTGGCCCATCTATGCAGCTTGAATTCGGGGACCCTGGTTCGTATGTTTTAGTGAAATTGTCAAACGGCCATCATTTTTGGTGGCGGTTTTATTAATAGCCGCCGCCTATGAAAGCTGATCTAACCCGGGAAGTTGGGCATAGCTGGGCTGCATCCTACCCTGCAAACAGTGCGTGGACACAGCTAGGCACAGACGAGAAAATCACACCAAAACAGATCCACAGAGTAGTAGCCCAGGGTAATCCCACTAAAGTGTGGGACTAAACAATAGATTGGTGGGTTGAATAACTCAAGATTGAAGTCACTGTGTTTTTTTAAATGCCACTGACTCACCGCAGGCTGGCACCAGCACAAGGTGCACATTAGGGATGTGTCCACACATTCCCACAAGACCAAATAAAGCTGAGCTGAGATGAAAGTTAATTTTCCCAAATGAGTACGTGGAAGTGTTTACTTGCATGGCAAACACACGACAGCAGTCATTTGTATGTGCATCATCATTAACAGGCTGACAAACACACCGTGAGCTGTTGAGCATCCATTGGTAAACGTTGTGTGCTCTCTCGGTCTCTGTCAGGTGTCATTTTATTCTCCTCCGCTTCTCTCCGTCCTCATAATTCTTGCCATCTGTCTGGTCCTCTTCCGAGCTATATCTGGAGAGTGGCTCATGTAATCTCTTGTGGAATTAAAACATAAATCACACAGTAATCTCTTAAATGCATATCATTTTCAGGCATTGCTGTGGACACCACTGCTTCACATACCACAGAGCATGCCATGGCATTTTAATTTTGTTATTTAATTTTGCAGCAAATTTCCTTTCTGTGCATGCTCAGGCGTAAGCGGTTCACAAAATATATCTGAATGCAAAGAGCTTCAAAATCTACCCCCATGTCTAGTTTCACATTAATGTCACAGCAACAGGCCACCATTTCTTCCCCCCAGCTGATAAGGAAAAGCTATAATCCTCTTTGCCATCAAACGCACAGCCCTTAAGGCATATTTCTCTCAACACTGACACAAAATATGTCATAACAAGAATACCTCAGTGAGCTCTCAGTTACTGCACATGTCCTTTAAACTCTTTTATTACACATTCAAAGTAAATTCATCTTACAGGTGGCCTGTCACCCACATACTAATCTCAGATGACCCAGTGGGGTTTGTCCTGTTTATTGCTTGCAGCTCAGTGACACGTTATTCTAGCCTGACCCTAATCCCACAGAGACTCTTTGTGTGCACGTCCACCCCAGGATACTCCTTCTCATTGTTTTGCCTGAGAGGCTTTGTTGCAGTACTAATCTGCAGTCTACAGGTGGATACATCCTGACAAAAGGCAGAACGTTTTGCCCCATTGCCACTCAAAACAGTCCACTTAACCCCTCAAAGAAATCATTTAATTCTTCATCATCCACTTATTTTTGTTTGTGCAATCGTGCGCATCATGTGTTCAAATACTGGTTTTTGTGTGTGTGTGTGCAAAATAGTGATTGAGCATTTTCGATTTTACCTATGGTGATGTCAAGTTGTAATCAGTCAGTTTGTCTAACACATATTGGATTGATTGTAATGACCAATAATTGTTTCCAGAGGATGAACACCTTTGGTGATCCCCTCACATTTTCACTGACACTACACAGTTCACTTTTTAGGCTTTGAACTTAGTGCCTGACCAATATATTTGTGGGGCGATGGACCAGCCGATATGAGCTATTCTTCAATATATTGATCCTGGTATTTATTATATCAGAAAAATACACATTTTAAAAGTGTCACGGTCGTGGTAGTGTCCTCCAATCTCTTTGGCTGTTGCTGTGGGTTTATGGCAGGCTTTAGTTTCTCTTAAAAATATCTTCTATAGTAAATACCAACAGAACAGTGTGTACTCCAATTTTTTCTCTGTTGTCTCCCTGACACACAAAATCTTGCACTTTAAAAACAATCCCACCACAAACACTGCAAGGTAGGAACCAAAATTACTTTGCAATAGGTATGTTGAGATAAATAGTAATTAATAAACTTAATAATGAAAAACCATAAAATTGTATTATAAAACCTGATGTGCATTATAAATCAACAGCAAAAGTTACACAAATGGCATGTGACCAAAAATAAATGCTAGCGGAGTAACTATGGTTACAAAGGCAAAGAAGAGAGGGAAGAAACACCGCTCATCTGTGTTATGAGTGGTTATGTTGCATAGTTTGTCCACCAGAGGGCACTTTGCACTTTCCTGTTGGTACCTGAGCTCAGCATAAACAAGTAATACACTAACAAGATTATTTTTACACTGTGTTGTCATATCATCTTAACAAGAACTCATAAGTAACTGCACATAATAAATGTTTGAGACATCTATTTATGTTTCATGTGTTGGAAAGAAGAAAATAATTGCTGATATATTGGATTTCTAAACTGTCAAATATTGGTGTCAGTTTTAAAAATCTTTCTCTAGCTCTGGTCCTAACAATTGCCATTAAAAGATGAACTCCATTAACTGTTAGCATCCTGTAACTGTAACCTAGGAACATTGTACTCATGAGCAAACACATGCAAAACTAATGACACTCCTGGGAGCCTCAGCTGTGCATTGTCTTTAGAGCTACTCAGCAAACGCCCCACTGAGATAGTGAACAGCTGCTATTTTGAAGCAAAGAGTCGGTAAGAGGAGAATACACTTGTATTAATGGCCTTGGAGGACTGTGTGCTACCCATACTTTTGTTAAATCAAATATTCTGCATGTTAGTTTAAGTTTATGACAGTTGAGATCATACTTGCAAATTATGTGATCAGCAAACTGCTCTGTTATGATTAACTGACAGCAACATCTGCTACAGTGTCTGCTGTGTACTTTAACATGGCTTTCTCATGCATTATCTCAGCAATGTTTTGTTAACCTTGACTCTCATACAACATGAAAGTTACCATGAAGTTGCTTCCTGCTCTCTCATCCTATTAAATACATACAAACACAGCCTAGTTGCGTCCTTCCTGCCGCTTGGAAAGATTTTTTCCTAATCCTTGCATGTGATTGGTCGGTGATGTGATCTGGACACCTCGGCCAATGGCAGCACTCAGATTAAGAAGGAAGTCAATCCAATAGAGTTTTTACCTTCTCTCTACAAATCTCACTGATCCAGGAATAGAAAACACAGACGGTACGCTGCAGCAGCCTGACTGTTGGATGTCAGTTTCACTGCATCCAGTATCTTGTTTTTCTTTCTGGATTATCAAACAATTTTTAACTTGTAGAGACTAAACTCTTCTGCGGTGAGTTTAAACACCAATTTACTTGGCAAGATTAATAAATGCTGCAGAAGTAGCGTTTGAACATTTCCATTTTTAAATGAACTAAAATGAAATGACCCTGAGCCAAGGAATGTGGAACAGAATGCTAATGACAATGCTGCTATACTGGCTTTTTCAAGCTCTGCAGATAAAGTTTTTCGAGTTAAAACCTACAAAATTAAGAAAGTTTGAGCTGATGTTGCATACTATCATGTAGTGCTCATAATCTATGTTGCTACTCTGAACTAGGATCCTGAGCATCCACAGAATGAGTCTGGTTGTTTCTTTCACTTTGGGATATTTGACGTGTGCTTTCAGTCTAATTTGGGGCTAATTATTTAGCTTGATATTAAAGCTACATCTGCACACTCACTCATGCTGAGTAATGTACAGATGTGGGCACTGAGTGAGTGAAGTGTGAAGAGTTTACAGCTAAACATTTTTCTCCTTCTTTCTGTCCACAGATTCAAGCAGGAAGGCTCAAATAACAGAGGTGCCATTGTTGCTTCACATTCTACACCCCTCACCTGTCTCTGTGTCTTGCATCTGCTCGATCTGTTCTCTCATCTATTTGTTGCTTGAATAGTTCATTTCATTGTAACTTTCATGGGAATAATACACATTATCTGTGACAGATGCCGTCCCCATTCGGATCAAGCCAAGGGCATGAGAAGAAGATTGGCCACAGGAGGGTCGATGCCTCTGGAGAGACGACTTACAAGAAGGTTTTTCTTTTATTGTTCTTTTTTTCTTTTTTTTTGCCTGTTTGCCTCTTAATACTGTTTGTAGGTTTTCGTGGCATCACGATTTCAACTGTTTGCCACCCACACCTTGGTCTGTTGCTCTTTTCTTTGTTGTCCGCCTCCAGACAACCTCCTCTGCTTTGAAAGGTGCCATCCAGTTGGGTATCGGATATACTGTTGGCAACCTCAGCTCCAAGCCCGAGAGAGATGTGCTCATGCAGGACTTCTACGTGGTTGAAAGCATCTTCTTCCCCAGGTACATTCATATCAGTAAATGTGCATACAATTTCCATGAGATATTGCTTCTTATCCTCTTTCTGTTGTCGCACTTTACTCCATACAGCGAAGGCAGTAACCTCACACCAGCCCACCACTTCCCAGACTTCAGGTTTAAAACCTATGCCCCTGTGGCCTTCCGCTACTTCAGAGAGCTTTTTGGGATCCGACCGGATGATTACCTGGTGAGATACTTATTTTCTCTGATGACTCACAATGCACTCAGTGTATTTAAGTATCATCTAAATTACAGTGTAACTAAACTGTTATTCCTTTACACATGGGATGAGCAGTGAAGATTTTCATAAACTAAAGATAGCATAGCATAGCTTAGCCATCAGTCTCAATTCATCAGCTAATATCCTTCTACACATCCTAGTGGAAAATCTCATATAAAGCACATTATTTAAGTTGCATTAGCCTTCCTACAATTGTCACTGTCTCTGCAAGCCACTTTGTAACCCACCTCCAAAGTCATCCTGACTGAAATGTGTGACTTGATTCCGAGTATTTCGCTGTAATTTAACTGTTCTCTCTCAAACTATATAATCCTGCCCAAGACCTCCTATTTGTCAATATTTAGCTTGAATTGTATTTGCATAGTAGGAACATTGTGGGAAAAGCAGTATGTCAATATCATTTCCACCAGTTATTAGACATGACGCAATATTTTTAACTCAGATGATCATGTGACACGGCAAGGCGCCCATCATGTGTCCATCCACAATTTAAATATCAGTCCTCATCCTGGAGAATTAGTCAGAGTATATTAAAACTTACACATAATGATCTTCACCCGTGTTGTGCTCAAGGTTAAAGTAATAGTTGCTGTGCTGTGAGCACCTTTACATTTTTACAAGAATTACCCTTCTCCCTAAAGCATTGGTCAGATTTCAGTGAAACTTGCACACAATGATAACCTAATGAGTTTCCACTCAAATCATGCCCAAGGTCAAGGTCAAGATCAAGGTCCCAGTTCTCAGTTGCACGACCATTCACACACTGTGCATGTGCACATGAGGTGACATAGCGTGTTCTCAGCAGCACATTTAAGCTCACACTCTACCTGTGCCAGAGGGAGATTAGCTGACTAAAGCCTTCCTTTTAAAATTCCAAGTAGTGGCAGCAGACGGTTAGAGTGGTTTGTTTTTGTGTCTGCATGTGTTTGTGCTGCCGGTGGAGGGGTGGAGTAATGAGATAATTGCATTTTGTCAGCTAAGCCATAGAAAATTGCCTTCCTATGTGAGGCAAATTAGCTACAATCAAAGGGTACGCGCTTACCTCTCAGCTCATTTCTCCAGCCTCCAACCAGAGAATTACCTCAAATACCTCAGATGTCAGATATAGTGAGAAGTTTGCTGATGCTACTGGAATGCCTCCATTAGGCTAAAGCTTAACGAGCTTTGGTAAAACATCATCCCTGCTTTCTGTACACTTTCATAAGATAAATGAATGCAACAGTAAAGATAGTAAGTTCATTTGAGTGACTAATACAGCATTAATTTGTAGTAATCTCAACAGTCTATACACACATAGTTTCTTTTTTGTGCTGATGAGTAATGTCGAGTGAGTGGGTAGATGCATTAGTCCTTTGGTTGGATGGTGGAAAGCTCTAGTGGCTCAAACATGAGCAAAGCTATGCAGCCACCCAAAAAAGACATAATGAATATTGTACGAACTTCTGACTATCTAATTATTCTGTCAAAACAGGTGACACAAGCATAATATGAAATTAATGAATTAGTTTGCTTTTGTAGCATTTGCATGTTAAAAACATGTTTCCAGAGATCGTAAAGTCAGACTGTTTGAATTGAGGTTAAATTGTACTCTGTGTTTTATCTGTGCTTCTGTCTAGTATTCTCTGTGTAATGAGCCACTGATTGAGCTGTCAAATCCAGGAGCTAGTGGCTCAATTTTCTACGTGACCCGTGATGATGAGTTTATCATCAAAACTGTGCTGCACAAAGAGGCTGAGTTTCTGCAGAAATTGCTCCCTGGATACTACATGGTAAGTATCTCATCCATTAGAATCATTTTGGGAAAGTAAAATGAATGATTTCCATAAGTGTGATAATATGTTAGGAGTTGGAGAATGAAATCTTGCTTTGGGTTTGAACTGCACATGCCACAGAAACTTCGAGTCACCTTTATCCTCTTAATCCAAACCTCCGCGGTTGGCCCAGGTTAGCGGTGATGTCAGCAGCAGGTGGTGGTGTTGTGATAGGTGAGAGCACGGAGTTAGGCTGGGTACTCCTTAATTGGTGAAGCACGGACACGGTGGAGAAACACAAGCATGAGCTGAGGCCTGGTGTTGAGTCACGCTGTTTCGCATGTGCATGGTACTGAAATGGGGTGGAAGCCACAGATTGCAACCAAAATGAACCACTAATGTGCCACATTTTCTTCCCTGCGCCTCTCTCCCTCCCTCTATAAATCCCTCTCCAGAACTTGAACCAGAACCCCCGGACTTTACTGCCAAAGTTTTTTGGCCTCTACTGTGTCCAGTGTGGAGGAAAGAACATCAGAGTGGTTGTGATGAACAATATTCTACCACGCTCCGTGCGCATGCACCTCAAGTTCGACTTAAAGGGCTCAACATACAAGCGGCGAGCATCCAAGAAGGAAAGAGAGAAGTCCAAACCCACTTTTAAAGACCTGGACTTTCTGAGTGATATTCCTGAAGGCCTCACACTGGACCAGGACACATACGGCGCTCTGGTCAAAACGCTGCAAAGAGACTGCCTGGTAAGAGGGCAAATAGAAAGGAGCTGGATAAACTGGTCTTTGTAAAAGTAGATTAACACTGTGCATCTAGCAGCCAAGCCAACCACACATCTTCCTGGTAGTTCATGAAAGAATTTGAGGAAAGCAGAAAAAAAAAAGCTTAAAAGGCTCTAACATTAATTCCATACTCAAATATTCATAGTTTTCCTCAAAGATTTCACAAATATTTATTGCATTTTATGTGTTTTACATCAGGTTCTGGAGAGTTTTAAGATTATGGACTACAGTTTGCTGCTTGGGGTCCACAACAAGACCCAAGCAGAGAGAGAGCGTCAGTCTCAGGGCTCACCCATCAAAGGAGGGGATGAAAAGAGGCCCGCAGGGCAGAGATCCTTGTATTCCAGTGCCATGGAGTCAATACAGGGAGGCTCCACATGCAGGGACACTCTGGAGCAGGATGACACGTAAGACAGCACTTCAAAAAGCCTCTCCTCATCCTCACCTCAAATATGCACACGGTAACTTTTCTGCTCTCTTTAGTATGGGTGGCATTCCAGCTATGGGTGCTAAAGGGGAGCGCCTCCTGCTGTTCATTGGAATCATTGACATTCTGCAGTCCTACAGGTAGGTGATCAGTGTGTGCTACTTGTGAGACAGTGTGCCACTGAAGAAAACGCAACAACTAAGGCTTAGTTGGGTGCAGAAGTAGCACCGTTCTGGGAAGATTATTAAGAAAAAATGCACTGTTAATACTCAAACCCTTAGTTTTTTACTGGGAACTACTTATGTCATCAAGCATGTCATATTTTAAATAGCTGCAAAATCATTTAATAATAATATGCAGGTGGAAGGAATGAGGATCTACATAAAGGTTGATTTCTATTTTTCTTTTTATTTGGGAAGATTGCTTTATGTCGCCACTGATTTAGCAGTAAACTGCTAGATATGTGCGGCACCTAATAAATAATTGAATTTTTCCATCTGGCAGGCTGATCAAGAAACTGGAGCATTCCTGGAAGTCCCTCATCCATGATGGAGTGAGTATCTTTTATGTAACTGTTATGTAATAGTTTGAATCCAAGCCCAACAGACCAGTCTAAACCATATCTTGTTTTTTGTTTTACGGCATATATTAAGGATAGAAAATGTTTATATATTTTATCTTCACTCTTTCTTTATTGGGACCTGTATTCTCCCACAGGACACTGTGTCGGTTCACAGACCGAGCTTCTATGCTGAGAGGTTCTACAAGTTCTGTAGCACAGTTGTGTTCAAGAAGAGTTGCTGTGAGTTCGTGCACAGGTCGCAGTTTGTAGTGTTTCCTCTGGTCCTAATAAAGGGAACGAGTCCAAGTAATCCGTCTGCTGAATTTACAGCACTGCGATCGTCTCCATCCAAGAGAGGACGAGGGGTTCTAATGTCCAAGTCCAGTGCAGGAGCCAGCTCGACGGGGCAGCGTCCTTCACTGACTGATGACAGGCCAGAAAACTTGGACAACTTGGAGAACCTAAGAGGAGCTCGCAGTTTCCCCATGCTGGAGGACAATGGTATGACCTTTTCTAAGCTTTAATGGAAAAAAATGACTTGATAAGAACAGAGAAATATTTCCCACAGGGTGCACAAAGGTTTCCTTTAAGGGTTTTCTTTCTTTCTGGTAGAAGGGAGTTTTTCCTTCCCATTGTCGCTAAACCGCTTGCTCATTAGGGGCTTTACCTTTACCTTACAGTCTAAAGCACCTTGACGGAACTACTGTTGTGATTTGTGTGTTAGGAAGTTCCTTAAGAAAGCTTACGTCTCCTTTGTTGTTGTTGTTTTTACACCAAGTTAAAAGCTAATACAGCAACACGATTTCTAACCTTGACACTGACGTCCTCTATTTTCTGCAGCTGAGTGCTCCTTTTCCCTTTAAGTAAAATAAATCAAACATTGTTTATTATTAACGTGCAGTGATGAAGCAGCAGCATAGCAGCATCAGAAACAAAGTATAAGTAAAAGTAACAAATCAATACTAGATGACACAGGAAGGGAATAATATGAGGTGTGCACAACAATACCAGATGGATATTACTTCAGTAAAAAAGGGAGCATTTGTAAACTTTCTAAGACCTGTAAGAGCAAGAATGTAAGAAGACAATTAAATTTGAATTTTGCACAGGTAACTGAGTTTAAGGACCACTGCAAGCATATGGCAGAGTTCAGATATCAGAGGTTCAGAGAAGAGTGCAGTGCAGTGTCGTACACTCAGATAGATCTTTGTTCTGTGGTACAGCCTCCTGAGATGCACCTTTAATGTTAGTGTGCTCTGTTTCTTAAAGAATTTATGTCCTGTTCATTTTTTCATCTCTCTTGCGCACACAGCTCATGATCTCTTACTTAACTATGCCCCTCAGGGAAGGAACCGCCCTGCACCCCTCCTTCATTTGAAGATGCCACCACAGCATCTATCGCTACCACTCTGTCATCAAACAACTCCCTACCCACCACCCCATTCGATACACCTGAGCACCCTCGCTACAGGAGGCAAATGCTTTCACCAAACATTTCCAGGTGAGAATATCTGATGAATATAAAATGTTATATCTAATCTGCTCTTATGATATTGTTCTTCCACAGTCATGCTTGCTCTGTGCTTCTGTCTGCTTTCAGGTCACAAAAAGAGATAGTTGAGGTTCACGGTGAACGCCAGGACACCATAACAGTGGAGGTGGAGCTCAGGTAGATGCATATGCAGTGCAAAAATCCCAGGATGGTTTCCATTTATTCATATGTGGTATTCTAACATTGTTCTATGTCTTGGTTAATGCAGTAAAATCCCAAAGAGCACGGAGCTCACACAGATGACAGAAATCCCCACATCCAGCCATCCAGCAGCTGATCCTCTGCTTCCTGTCACTGCATCATCTATGTCATCCACTCCTCCTTCTGTTAACCCCTGCTCTCAGTATTCATCACCCAGCCTTCCTCCTTCCTTTGTGTCCTCCTCCTCCACCACCTCTCAGTGCAGCGGGTATTCATCCTCCACACTTACTTCATCAATCCGTCCGTCCACCAAGCCACTCACATCTCCTGCTTCTGCTCAGTCTTTAAGCCTTTCTTCTCCAGTCTGTCATTCTGCTGCACGATCCACAGGTCCAAACAGCTCCACCCTTCCTCCTGCATCAGCATTCACCCCAATCTGTCCGGCATCCTCTCACTCCTACTCCCACAACTCCTCTCACCACCTGCCATCGACGCCCCCCTCCTCTGTCCCTCAAAGCCCCCAGGTGTGTCAGCAGTCACCACGTACGTCGCGCAATCAGCTGTCTGTCTCCAGCAGCCACGACTCACTGGATGGAGAGGTGCAGGTTTCCGACATATACTTTGTAAGTTCCCCTGTTTTCGCACTCCAATTCTTCTGGTTCTTGTTTTGCAGAAAATATTCCACACTAGATACTAACCAGTTTAAAGTAGGTAAAACAAACCACAATGATCATACAGCTGATTTATGAGAAAATCCATTTTCAGGGAGTAAAGATGATTTTATCTGATGTTTGTCTTTGATCTGCTGGGTCTTTTGCAGTGGCCCAGTCAGGACAGCGTGGTAGAGTTGTGATGGTGAGGGGGGGGAGAGGGGGCTCTATCTGTTTGCACGCACTATAGGAAATGCTCCTGCTTTTCAAAATGCTTTATTTCAACTGAAGCATGAGGCTGCCAGGAGCCACCGTCCATGCTTTTTGATTGTTGCCTTTTCTGCACAGCATGATTCTTAGCTGCTGATCTGCAGTCATTCCTCCTCTCAGCTTCACTCACAGCTCTCCACAGCTCTATCCTTTGTGGGATTTTGTTTGTCTTTGCTGCATTCTTCCATTTATTCCACATTTTCTGCTTTATGTTTCTCTTATAACTCCTTCTATATTCTCATGCATATTATTTTTCCATATAATTTTATGCTCAGATCACTTCATTTTCATGTGTGTGTCCGTGTGTGTGTGTGTGTGTCCATCCATCAGTATGCAGATGGCAGATATTGGGTGTACTCTCCAGTTCTTGGCCGTCGTAAGCTAAACTCTAGTTCAAGTTACAATGTAAGTCACCATCAAAGTAGTTAGCTGTGCATTAGTCCAGGTGATGTTTGTACATACTAGACTACACTGGTAGTAACTGTTCCATTGGGCCTGTTGCACACATAGCTACTTAATGATCTTTGAAGGTAAAATAAAGTCTGTTTCCTATGATTTATTTCATGCGGATGTCACAAGAAAGGGCGCTGCATATAAAACTGCATGTCATGTAGCTTGTTGACAGTAAAGATTAGTTGGAACGTGTAGGTTTCTGGACCTCTAAATGAACGTAGTACAATAGGTAAGGATAAATGTGTGTTTGGTTGATGATTTGATTGTTGTAACAATGCTTTTTGGCAGTAAATCTTATTCCATTGGAAAGCCAGTTTTTCCCCTTAAAATGTCCCACATTTATAGGGCAAAGGCATGCCTACGGTTCCTAAGTGCTGACAGGGTGAGAATCTATATTGCCGTGGTAACAATGAAACATTGGACAATGAAAGTGAGGTCTCTAGATGAAGAATAAAATAAAAATACAAATTAAAAAAAATTGGTGTTGATGTAAATACCAATGTTAACTGCAGTTGTTAATATGTAAACATGATATTGTGTTGTATTAATGTAAACATTGTACATCAAAGTGGTATTGGATCTGATTGTCTAAAATCTGGCAGCATTCAGCGTGGTGATGGCTGAGGGATCAAAGCTGTTCCTTAGTCTGTTTTTGTCAGTGTGGATCTGAAACATCTGCCTGAAGCGAGATGTTTCAGATCCATAAATGACCAAGGTGAGATGGGTCTTAAAGGATTTTATTAATTTTCTTGGGACAGTGGGAACTGTGCAGATATCGGCTGTATCCTTCAATTTAGAGATCGCACTTGGGTTCACTCCAAATAATAATGCAGCTTAGTTTTGTGGAACATACAATCAAGTAGCTCATCCAGACCAGTAAAATGTGGCACGCTGGGGGAAGACGCCAACTGACCATTGCAACAGGGTCCATGCTCACAGGTGCTGCTAATCAGGCACAAATCAGCCAATTGATTGTCAGCACCTGGGGTACCAGAGGCTCGAAACAAGAGTCAACAGCAGAATAAGCTGTTTGGCATTAGCAGAGAAGATTTGGCAAGTTTTTCATGGCCTCGACCCACAAATGCATTTTTCTTACAAGTGTGGCAGCAGAAACAGGATTTCCACCAGGAAATCCTTGGCAAGTAGCAGTTCTTTGTTACAACAAAGAAATAATCAACCAAACACAAATGTCCTTACTTTTTGTGCTACATTTAATTGACTGTAACTTGTACTTGCTTTGTGCTTTTAGTGATGTTCAAGCTTCTTTGAACCTCTTTGAATGTAATCATCCTTTCTGAGGCAGTAAATGACCATGGCGCTAACGTTTTAAGTTTCCATATTACATTAATTATTTGTGACTTTAAAAAGCAGCAGCGAAATAATTTACAAGCAACAAAGAGGGGAAGTAACATCTAGTTCACACAGACCTAGTTTCCCTTTTGAAATGATAGAGAAGTTGGAGAAGTCGCCCTTAAAGCTGATCTGCATGATTTGGACAGAATGGCTATGGCTTGATCTGATGATGAGGCTTTTATTTCAGATTCTGATTTTAATATTTATACATGCATCACCTTCAGAAGCCACAACATGCAAAACTGCACATTGCAGCTTTAAACTGTTCCGGGAATAGGGATTGTCTCTGCAGAGCTCTGTTTCCCAAATCAGTGTTAAGTCCTCTGCTCTTCTTTCTTCTTGCGCTTCCCTCTGCCGGCTGTGTTTGGTAACAGCAGACTCAGGAGGATCGGAGCTGGGCGTACTCTCCTCTGCACTGCAGCTCAGAGTCCAGACGGGGCTCAGATGGGGAAAGTGAACCAGTAGGTGCACGGTTCATTCATGAGTCAAAGTTAAATCACAGAACAGACACGAGTGGACGCATTTGCTTTGCCAGCCTCTCTAATGTTAATCTTCTCGTTCTCCAGTAACTTACAGAGGAGGCAGCATCGGTGGGTGCAGCCAGAGGTCATCTGTGAGACTTTAATGATGAAACCACCAGGACGCTACGAAGAGTTCACGCTGATTGGCCAAGCTGCATGTGAGAGCTTGCTTTGCCAATAAAAACCAAAGGAGTGAACTTTTTTGGAAGTATTTAGCTAAGCTGAAGAAACAATCAAAAACCTTACAGTATTATAGGCAACATTTTAAAGCATCAGCTCCAGGACAATCTTACTGATATCAAGTGGAGGTATCACGCTGGCACTGTGAATGCTTTCAGTGTTATAAAAACGGGGCTCTCTGTGCAACAAACACAACATGATAAATTTTAGAGTTGATCCCAAAGTTTCCAGAGATACCAAACCTTCACGTGCTTATTTTCTGCCTCTTATCCAGAATCAGGTTGCCGGCTGGAGGCAGGCGAAGCAACATAGTCCAGATATCACTCTCTCCAGCTCTGGCTATGCAATATGGACATACTGTACGTGGTACTTCTTTGTTTTTGACTCTACCTGACTTTACAACTTCATGCTTTATTTGTGTGTCCATTTGTCTTTTTCACTAGAGGCATGTCAAAGCTGTGTGTAACTTTATTCCTAGCACTTTATCGGTGTACCAGTGGCTAAGGTCTTTTTATTATAATTATGTGTTTTATTATCTTGTCGTCAGCTGTTGGTCGAAAACACACTCAAACACAGTTGATGTTGTGGGTGTCGTGCGTGCAGTGTTCTCTCTCTTTCAGTCCACTCGACAAACTCTGATCTCACGATGAAAGCTTTGTTTACATTGCCTTACTGATTTTAACTAAGGTATAATCGTAACAGTTGTTTATTCATATTTTCTGATAATATGTAACGAACACAAACTCTTAAATCCATATGCGACTGTGAGAAACTGCGTTTTATAGCAGTTTAAACAAGAAATCGGCCAAGCACTTACTCGTTTTCCATATTCAAAGAGGTCAAGAGAGGGGAAAAAATGAGAAAAAAGGTCTTTTGTAAATTGTTGATAATCTGTGTGTGCTGTACCACATGCATCTGTGCCCTTATGTCTCTGTCTGTGCATGTGTTTGCATGCGTATAACATGTGACTGGGAAACGAATATTTTTTGTTTGTCAAAAAGTTGCTATCGCTGTTCAAGGCCATGAAAGTCCGAAGCAGCTGCACGCCTGCTGGCTACGCCAGAAGAGTTGAATCGGCCGAGTCTTCAGCCACCCCAGATTAATCAAGATTTACCAAATTAAACAAAGTACGAACTGAAGCATCCAAGAAAAGGCACGCCATACTATCCTTCTTCCACACACTGTGATGCTGGCTAAAGCAAGTTTGTCCCCCTGACGCTGTCCATAAGCAGCACTGCACCACATCACTGTATTATTTGAAGTTAACCTGCCTCGTTGTAGGTGACGGTGTTTGTAGCTGATCACTGTGTAAAATATAATTAAATTATATTGTGTAATTTGTTGTTGTTGTTGTTTTCTAAATCACGGTCACAAACCAGTTGTCCACTAGATGGCACCAGAGTGTCTCAGAAAAGGAATTCTCAGTGCCTGAAACGTCGCACAGTGTTTCTCACCCCTTTTAGTTGAACCGTAGAATTAAATTGCATAAAGACATATACCAGAATATCATCTGCTTATAGGTCATTTTATTGTGTTTTTAATGGATGATAAAAGGGGGGCTTGTATTTAAAGCCACGCATCCCACTCCTCCACATCACACTGACATTTCAAGGCATGCAAACATAATGATATGACATCTCGACTGCTTTTCTGGAGATTGTATTTATGTATTTATTTTCATAAATCGCCAGAGGACTTACTGCTATAAATGCAGCGCCATTCGAAAGAGATAGGGCTTCAACCAAAACAGCTCACCAGAAATTTTAGCTGATAGTCTGCATAAAGTGATGCTGGTCATAGTGGTTTCTATTATAATGAACAGAGAACAGAGGAAAGACAGAGTGATGCTAATTATAAGCAATAAAAAGTACTGAGGAAATATACTGAACTACAGCACGCACTTGGGTGTAGCCTATACACAGATGGGGGACAAATTAAAGGATAAAACAGCATAAAGGTGTTTTAATAATGGTTCTCTAAATGTCTGTAACACAACTGGAGAGATGACACAGCACCCTCACAAAATATACTCAGTCATTTGGTGTTTCGATGATAGCGGTGGAGAGATCCAGAAATCTGCCAAAGTTGTTCTGGTGACTGTGAATGCTGAAGCATATGATTCACATCATTTTTACACTCGTCAAGCCACCCCTCGTGCCTCATGAATGGGAGCGTCGTCATCTCGGAAGAGACTGCTGTCACTTGAAAGAAATGTTTCGCTGCAGGATAAAGCTTATCGCTGGATTCAGCAGTCTCTCTCCTCGAAGGGGAAACGTGGACCTAAATCATGCCAGCAAAAGGGCCTCAGAGTTCAAGTTTTCCTTTAATTTGTAAGCATGTGAACACATTTGCTTTGAGGAAAAGTAAAATACAAATAAAGTGCAGAGTAAATCTAATCAAGTGTGCAGTGAATTTGCTGACTGCTGGTGCAGGTACACTTGTATTGCTGCGTGCTTGTGTGGGCCAGAGTTGTGAATGTCAGTCAGGGTGACAAGTCAGGCATGTCGGGCACTGATGGAATGTGTGATGGACAAGGATCAGCAGCCACCTGCCCAATTGTCCAAGAATGAAATTGTCCCTCTCTTGATTTTCCACTTTTTTGTCCTTCTACCTTTCAGTGCACATGCATATACACACACACAGACACGCACCCTTTCCCCCCCCTCTCCATCCTATTTAATGCCTACTTCCTGAATTTCAGCCAAAAGGATATTCTTTAACAAACCCAGAAGTGCAACTAACTCCATGTTTAAAACCATGTTTTTGTAGCTACATTTCACAACTGTCCACTCAGGCAATCATCGAGATACTTTTTTCAAAAGAGGACAGCTGCAAGGATACACTTGCTCAACGTGTGTGTGATTGTGCCTGTTAAAAAAAAACAGTTTGTTCAGGCTGTGGGTTGCAGCTTTCTCAAGCACTGCTCAGCTAGGTGTGTGATTGTAGTCATTTCTTAACAGAAACCAAAGACAAAAATACATTTTAGAAAATGAAAACATTTGCAGCTATCTTAGTGAGAAGCGATTTGAGTGCCCAGAGCGATGAAGTTTTGTGAAAGGTAGAACATTTTGGCTGGCTCAAATTTTTTCACACTTTAAGCAAATGCAGCCGTTTTAGAGTTAAGACCTGGTTTTAGAGCTAAAGTTAGAATAAGGTTTAAATTAAGGTTGCGGTGTGACTGGGCATTTTTTTGTAATAGTTAAACTTGCGAGTAAAAAAAGCCTCTGTGTGTGCGTTTGTGGGTGTGTGTGTATATATACACATTTACTGGTCACTTCATTAGGTGCACTTGTTCAGTGCCTCATTAATACAAATATCTAATGAGCCAAGTCTGAGTAAAGTGAGAAACCACTGATCTACTGGGATTTTCCCACACAACCATCTCTAGGGTTTACAGAGAATGTTCTGAAAAGAGAAAATATCCAGTGAGCGGCGCTTCTCCGTGCCAAAAAGCCTTGCTGATGCCAGAGGTCAGGGGCGAATGGCCAGATTGCTTTGAGCTGACAGGAAAGCAAGAGCAAGTTAAATAACCACTTGTTCCAACTAAGGTATTCAGAAAAGCATCTCAGTATCCACTACATGTCAAACCTTGAAGCACCTGGGCTACAGCAGCAGGAAAGTATACAGGGCACCATTACTGTTAGGTAAGAACAGGAAGCTAAGGCATTGCTCGGCCTGACGAGTCTCAAGCTCATTCAGATGATAGGGTCAGAATTCAGCGTAAACAACACGAAAGCATGGATCCATCCTGCCTGGTATCAATGGTTCAGGCTGCTGATGGTGCTGTAATGGTTTAGGGAATATTTTCTTGGCATGCTTTGGGCCTCTTAGTGCCAACTGAGCATCATTTAAACAAAAAAATAAAAGATACATGCTGAATCTATTGAAACGCAGGTCAACATGATAGCATCATCGTACTATTGTCTGTTTGTTTTCCCAGTTTTATTTTCACATGTTGAGAACCTCTGCTTTGGGGTTACTTTGGTGAAAGTGACCAACTTTTAACCACCAAACGGAGTGAAGACCAGATGTACAGAGGGGCAGGCAGACTTTAAAAAAAAAAAAAAATTATAAGTGAGAACAAATAACATAAAAAAAAAAATCTGTGTAGCCAAAGTTTGATAGAACAGTGAACAGTACTTTATTCCACTTTGCCATAGAGCACCATAACAGTCAAACATGTACTGGTAAAACATTACTAATCCACACAGTAACACAAGCAGGCATGTTATCCAGTTTTAACGAATATGGCATGGGTACCGTTTACTGTGCACTGATCCAGTACGTACACTGTACCACTGCTGTACATTCACCTGCAATGGAAAAAGAGTCCTCATTAAAATTCACTACATTTATCTTCTCTTCAAGTGATTATTTTACATCTTACATCACTCTCACCCCCCACTGGTTGTGGCAGATGGCTGTACCTGGTTCTGCTTCAGGTTTGCTCTTGTTAAAAGGGAGTTTGTCCTTCCCACTGTCACCAAGTGCTTTCTTGATTGGTGGGGTTTTCTTGAATCTTAAACCCCAGGTCTATATTTTTGACCATTTGTAGAAACGTGTCTTCATTAGATAAAAAATGGGCTCGCTTGATGAGCCCTAAAACGAAAAAAAAAAAATTCTTTAGTGTGAAATAGTTGCATCAGACCTGCATGATGTTTCCTAGCATGGAGTTTGCATGTTCTCCTAACGTCCGCTTGAGGCTGTTTTGTAAGCTCCAAAGCCAATCACATGCATATTAGATGCACTGGAAACTCTATGACTATCTTTCCTTTCCAATCTATTTCTGCTCCTCCCCTTGCTTTCTGCTCGCATGCAGGCTGGGATAGACATCAGACACCTGTGACTTTGAAAAGTAATATTATCATGGTGATTATCACAAAAAGAAGAAACAAAGAGGTTGGGGAATGAAACATAGACCATAGACGAGGAATAATAAACTAAAAATATTTTGAAATAATTCGTGGATTTAAAGAAACACGGTGGAGCGGCAGCATCTGTACCTGGGGTGAATGGGCCATCACAAAGCTGAGCTTTCATCTGCAGGAAACATAAACAAATGGCTTTGTTCTTTCAAAGCAGAGAGGGGCGAAAGCCAGAACAAACAGGGTGAGTGTGCAGTGTGTGTGTGCGTCTGCACATGCACGTGAAAAGAAGAGAGAAGAAGAGGAGCAGAGAGAGAAAGCAGAGAAAGAGAGATCAAAGCAGGGGGTATGTTTTTGAATCTCTGTGTGGGAGGTGGAGCCTCACCTACCCAGAATGCCTTGCCTCACTCCTTGCAGCCCACTCAGGTTTTTAGGAGCATCACTTTTCTTTGCAGCCAGCAAATTATGATACTACCTCTTCATCAGTCATCTCCAGCTATTCTGAGAGAGTCTTGAAATGGTGACTTGATGTGAAGCCAGTCTCTGATCTGTGATGCATAACCTGTATCTCCCACTCACAGTTCAACACTGCTGACAATGGAGTGATGAAGTGCGCTGGAAGAAAAGTCTACTAAAATCCCAGCTAGAGCCTTGGTTGAATCTTACCATAGAAGATTCCCGCTAAGTTGGATCAGAGCCCATCTCCCCCTTTTTCCAGTCTCATGGCAGGGATCGAAACATCTCTTTTTAACTTGGCGTGAGAAGCTGCTAACAGATGTCTGCGCATCCACGCGGAGGGAATGCTGTGCCCTCTCACACACACATGAAAAGCCTTGAAAGACTCTCCACTGCGTTGACAGTGTCTTAAGGCAGTGTTTATCTTTGGCAGGCTGAAGAAAACAAAGCCATCGATTTCTAATCCTAATCCCCTTCTACTGCTTCTCTCCTATTGATCATCTAGCCATCCTTAATGAGATGGATGAATAAAGGGATGGAGGGCTGATGAAGGACAAAACTTTCCCTGACAGCGTGCTGCCGTGCATCGCCTCTGCCCATGTCTTCTTAATCTGTCTCTTTTGCTCGTGGGGTTCTCGTCAATTTAACGTGTTTTGCGGTGGAACATAAAACAAATCCAGCTTGGTACCTTTGTGGAGCTTTATCAGAACTAGAAGCCAGCAGAGCTGTCAAGGTTTTGCCTGTATATTAAAATGGACTAATGTGGACGAATGCACTGCACACATAGAGGCACAAAGATGCATGCAGAGCAAGATTGGATTGACCACTTATCACTTATTACATTTCTCCTCTGCCCTGCTTAAACAGAGTCAGATAAGCATTCCCCCAACTACCTGATCTTAAATCAGATATTGCTGAAGCTCTGGACTGGATGCTTGACTAGTCCTGTATGTTTCTGTGTGCCAGCTCTCATTGGTTATTTCTCTCTAGAGGTGCATGGGTAGCAGATAAAGGAG